TCATATCTCCTAGTTATCAAACTATACTAACAAAGGTAAAATTGGGATGTCTCTGATCTAACTACACTTCAACAGAAGAATTAGCAAAAAGAGAAGCATAAGAAGGCAATTTCAATAGAAGACAGGTCTAAACAAACACTGTAAAACTTACTGCCTCACCCAGACATTATTTTCATATGTCAGCTTTGTAAGTTTTTTAAGAAAGATAGGAGGCACCAAGCTGGTCACCTGGTGGTACAGGTCTATAACCCAGGCTACTTGGCAGGCAAGAAGATCAAGTAAGTTCAAGTCCTTCCTGGGCTCTATAGTGAGTTCAAGGCCAGAATGGTAAGGTACTGCCTCAAACATTAAAAAATATAGAGAAAGATCAGGTGTATGGAGAGTGGGGGAGAGAGAACAAATATCAGGAGGGGACTTGAGGGGGGTGCATTTCTAGGATATGTCAGAGACCTGGGACAGGAAGGAGAGGCCCCAGGGAGTCTATGAGGGTGACTCTAGCTGAGACTCATAGCAGTGGGGATATGGAGCCTGAAGTGGCCACCTCCTGTAGCCAGACAGGACTCCCAGTGGAGGAATAAGGACAGCAATCCACCTAGAAAACCTTAAACCTTAAATGTGTCTTGCCAACAAGATGTGCAGGGACAAAGAAGGAACAGAGACTGGGGAATGGCCAACCAATGATTGACCCAACTTGAGACCCATTCCATGGTCAAGCACCAAACCATTTTCATTATAAATGATACTCCATACTCCATTATGCTTTCAGACAGGAGCATAGCATAACTGTCCTCTGAGAGTCCACACAGCAACTGACAGAAACAGATGCAGAGACCCACAGCCTAACATTAGACAGAGCTTGGGGAATTTTGTGGAAGTTGGGGGAAGGACTGAAGGACCGAATGGGATAGAGATGCCACAAGAAGACCAACAGAGGCAACTAACCTGGGCCCTTGGGGGCTCCCAAAGCCTAAGCCTGAACCACTAACCAAAGAGCAAGCATGGGCTAGGCCTAGGTCCCCCATCCCACCGCCACCACACCCCCTGCAGATATGTAGCAGATGTGCAGCTGAGTCTTCATGTGGGTCCCCAAACAACTGGAGCAGGGGCTGTCCCTGACTCTGTTACCTGCCTGTGGATCCCACTCCCCTAACTGGGCTGCCTTGTCTGGCCTCAGCGGGAGAGGATGTGCCTAGTCCTGCAGTGACTTGGTGTGCCAGGGTGGGATACCTAGGGGAGGAGGGGGGGAGTGGGAGAGGAGCTCCGTTAAGGGGGGACCAGGAGAGGGTGCTGTCCTCCAGATTGGGAATGAATTAATGAGGGGGGGGGAGAGAGAAGCTGAAGTTACAGCTTAGTCGTAGGGCACTTGCCTCTAGGTTCAATTCCAGTATCTCGAAGGTAGGGTAGGGGACGCAGTGTTTTATTATGTATACAGAACTAGGAACTACATTCCTACATGGGTAGTTTGTGAGCTGAAGCATGGTGAATATGAAGAACTCCATTAATTCCTTTCCTATCTTAACCTACTCCAATAATTATTATTATTCTGCATTCAATGACAAAGTCAACAATGCTGGATAACTCAGGGATAGATACTCACCTCTCTTTCCTTCTTCTTGACTCAGAATTTTTATCTTTATTTCTTTTCCGTTTGTGTGGGCTCCTACTCCGAGCCCTTCTATGTCGTGAACTTTCAACATCCAAATAACTTCCACCAGACTGTCGTGAATCTACCGAAGCCGATCGCCTTTCTTCATTCCTGCAGTACAGAAAGAACGTCCATCAGGCCTTCTCACCAATGGTCTTCACTGCACACAGACCATCACTAGCGTACAGTATTCCATATGATATCAGTGGCATAATCTCATGTTCCACAAAGGTAGCAGTCAAACAAACAGCACCTATAACAGCTTACCTAATGACAAGCTCCCTAATATCAAGTTCATCATCACAACTCTAAATACAGTAATTCTGAGCACAGACAATAAACAAGCACCAATGGATCCCAGTCTTGGAAATGCTATGGTTTAATAGCATATATAGGCAATGCATTAAACAGATGCTTTAAGCCACACAGTGCTGCATGGCCACAACTACAGCACATGAGAGGCACACTGCCAACACATATGGCCCTGGGTTTGACACAGATATAAAGTGAAAGAAGCACACACTTCCTCAGTGAGGACAATGACGTACTTTTCAGCACCGTCTTCTGCTCTTCCCTGCTCTTCTTGCCAATGGTTACTGAGCTCTTCCATGTGAACCTTTATCACATCCCGAATTACCTTGGGAGAAGTAAAAAGCAAATGTCACATCAAGAAGTTGTCCTAAACCTTAAGATCATAAAACCAGAAAAATAGGAGATGGCTCAGTGGTTAAGACCATCTGTTTCGCCAGGCAGTGGTGGCGCACGCCTTTAATCCCAGCACTTGGGAGGCAGAGGCAGGTGGATTTCTGAGTTTGAGGCTAGCCTGGTCTACAGAGTGAGTTCCAGGACAGCCAAGGCTACACAGAGAAACCCTGTCTTGAAAAAACCAAACCAAACCAAACCAAAAAAAGAGCATCTGTTACTCTTCCATTGGGCCAGTTTGGTTCCCAGTATCCATGCTGGGTGGTTCCTGATCACCCAGAACTCAAGATTTGGGGATCTAATGTCTTCTGGCCACCTTCTGGGACCTTTTTCTGGCACCTGCACTCATGTGCACATACCCACACATATACATGTAATTAAAAATAAAATCTATTTAGAAAAATCACTAGTTGTCATCACTCAAAAATTTATGAAGGAAGGGTTATGACATAATGGACTATGAGATGGGTGTATTTAAGAACTATGAAAAAGGCACTTGTCACACTGACAAATAAATAAATGGTAGATGGCAGTATTATTTCAATGTTAACTTGGAACTATGCTATGACTATGTAAGAAAACAGCTTTATTCTCTGGAAATACATACACACTTTTTGGGGATACGAGTCATGATGTACAGAACTTACTCTTGAACAATTCAAGGAAAAGAATATGTACAAATATGAAATAGAGAGTAAAAAATGTACAGAAAGGAAAGACAGCTGCTGGGTGGCTCTGCCTAAAATGACGGTCCTAAAGGAAATAGAGAATTCCATGGTCTATACAGTAAGACACTGCCAAGGACAAAAGGGAAAGAGGATGAAAGGTAGAGTAACAGAACACATGTGACGTGAGTGCAGGAGGAGGGACACCTGAGGGAGGGAGGGAAAGGACCCACAAAAGAGGCAATAGGAGACAACGGGGAATTATGAGTAAGAGCAAAGTATAATGACTCAGAACATGAAAACCAGAATGAAACCGGCACTATGCAAATACATCTTTTAAGAATTTAAAAAAGCATGAAAGAACACAAGGTAAGGGGTAAGCGGAAGTGGTGAGTCCACAAGGCCCAGCACCCACCAAGGGTGATCCCAGCAAAGATGTGCATGCACAGTTCTTCCTGCTGTGCTTAGTTTTCTAACTCTTCTGTATGAGGATATGTGCACACGAGTTTTAAACCTAATAATTAAACCACAATGAAAGACAGAGTATAAAATGTTACATTTACTTCCCAGATGTTCTCTCAAAGAGAGCTCATATCCCTAACCTGTGAGAACCACGTGAAAGCTTCTTTTCTATCTTTTACCTACACGATTAAGCAAAGACTAGTCACAAATAAACCAAAACAGAGCTGACACTTCTCCCTTGTCCACAAAAAAAAGATTTCAAAGTACAGGAATCAGTGAAATTTTCAATAGCTCCTAAAGCTAAATGCAGAACAATGCCAAACTCCTCAGTAAGGCCCAGGAGTCCTCCATGACTTCAAGACACTACAGTAGAGAGCACTAGGCAGCTCCAGCAGAAGCCCTAACTAATAAGCCTAGCCATCCCCAAAGGCCTTCAACTTTTAAAAATCTGTACTTAGCTCAAATCCTTAACCTGTGAGATTCAACAACCTCTTCTGGCCTCTATGGGCACTTAAACATACATAATGAACATATACTCAGGCCCACACACATATACATAAAGTAGAAATAAATAAAATAAAAAAGCTCAAATAACTATCAACCCCTTCCCAATGCCCCAAACCCCAACCCTCTCAAACCAGAGGCAGTTAAAAGCCCAAATTCATATTCTTGTCACAACACAGACGCACTTTCTCAAAACTCAATACTTTTAAAGTATCTTTAAAAGGCTTTTTTCAACCTCTACAGATATGTTAGTAGTGAAACACCTTTGCCTGGCAAGGACAAACAGGGTGTGGCATTCTCAGGACACTTGAGAAAAACCTCTGGGGACATAAAAAAGACTCAGAAAATTTTTATTTTCAACAAAAGTACTACAAAAGTATGTGAAACTTACCTCGGTGTATGACTTTTTGGTTATGTGAACATTCTTAGCTCTATAGGACTGACGTCTTCTTTTATAATCTCTCACTTCTGCCAGGATTTCCAGGTAAGATTTTGGACTTTTTCGGCTATTGTCTAATGAAAGAATAAAACTATTATACCCTTAAAAGGAGTTAAATTATTTTTATTAATGTATGTGTATATAATTAAATATAAAACATACTATATATATATATATGTCTGTGGGTTTGTCACTGTGAGTGAGTGTGTCTGGGGAGTCCAGGAGAGGGCATCTGATCCCTTGGAGCTGGAATTATGGGTAGCTGTGAGCCACCCAATGTGGGTAGTAAGAACAGAACTTAGGTCCCCTGCAAGAGCATTATGAGCTCTGAACTACTGATCTATCTCTCTAGCTCCACTTTGAAATTCAGAACTTAACAGTTAGAAATAATCCTGTGGGCTGGAGAGATGGCTCAGCAGTTAAGGGCACTGACTGCTCTGCCAGATGTCCTGAGTTCAATTCCCAGCACCACATGGTGGCTTATGATTATCAGTAATGGGATCCGATGCCCTCTTCTGGTGTGTCTGAAGACAGCAACAGTGCACTTACTTAAAGCAAATGAATCTTAAAAAAATAGTTACTACCCTTTCCCGTTCCGGGTTGACCAAACCAGGCTCGTGGGCCAGTGACACCCAGAAATTAAAAGGTTTTTAAAACCCGGGAGCTCGCGGACGGCTGCTCCGCGGCTGTCAACATGCCACAAAATGAATATATTGAATTGCACCGCAAACGATATGGCTATCGTTTGGACTACCATGAGAAAAAGAGAAAGAAGGAAGGTCGGGAGGCCCATGAACGTTCAAAGAAGGCAAAAAAAATGATTGGCCTGAAGGCTAAGCTCTACCATAAACAGCGCCATGCCGAGAAAATACAAATGAAAAAGACTATTAAGATGCATGAAAAGAGAAACACCAAGCAGAAGGATGATGAGAAGACTCCACAAGGAGCAGTGCCTGCCTATCTGCTGGACAGAGAGGGGCAGTCCAGAGCAAAAGTACTTTCCAACATGATTAAGCAGAAACGAAAAGAAAAGGCGGGAAAATGGGAGGTTCCTCTACCCAAAGTTCGTGCCCAAGGAGAAACAGAAGTATTGAAAGTTATTCGAACAGGAAAAAGAAAAAAGAAGGCATGGAAGAGATTGGTTACTAAAGTCTGCTTTGTTGGTGATGGTTTCACAAGAAAACCACCTAAATATGAAAGGTTCATTAGGCCAATGGGTCTACGTTTCAAAAAAGCCCATGTCACACACCCTGAGCTGAAGGCTACTTTTTGCCTGCCTATACTCGGTGTGAAAAAGAATCCATCATCCCCATTATACACAACCCTGGGTGTGATCACCAAAGGTACAGTTATTGAAGTGAATGTGAGCGAGTTGGGCCTTGTGACACAAGGAGGCAAGGTTATTTGGGGAAAGTATGCCCAAGTTACCAACAATCCTGAAAATGATGGGTGCATAAATGCAGTCTTGCTGGTTTGACAGTGACATCATACAAGTCATTCCACTCACTAGGAAGAATACATGCTGTCAGGAAAACACCATCGCTGTGACCTTTCTGAACTACCATGCAGCCTTACCCCGTGTGCAGTCATCAAGAAGTATTCATTAAGGTGTAAAGGAAAATAAAACACTGCCCTATTTTTTAAAAAAAAAAAAAAAAAAAAAAAAATAGTTACTTAAAAAAAAGGTGTGGGGGGGGGAAATAATCCTGCATAGTATGCTTCAAGGTAACATATAAAAAAAAGTTCTGAAATAATCTACGTTATGGACAGACTATTCTATCACTGTTTTTTTTCTAGGCAGTAGATGAACAGAAGTATTCACGTCCATAGAGTAAACACAAGTAGTATTCCTATAGATGAAGCATTATGCTAGAAGTCAGAGTACAACTCTGTAATGTCAGTGAGATGATACACAACCACCTTACCCCCCTCAAGTGGCACACAAACGAGATCACATTACTGACATGCATGAGATGAATGACAAGAAACGTAAAAGATGATATTTATCCCAAACCTTGATTGACTTTAGCAGCCAAGTCTACAAACAGGTCACTGTCATTTTCAATGACTTGAGGACCAGAGCGCTTTTTCTTTGTCTCCTCAATGACAAAATCATACACGGCAAGTCGATCCGCTTGTGTGAGGTCACAAACAGATCGTTTGTGATTCAGAGGAACTTCAACAGGCCCTGAAGAATACATTCCTAAGATAAAATGAGGCAAGAGTAAATGATGGGCGAAGCATGTGGATTTGACTCTTAAATATGTGCTATAACAATACAATAGTAACCCAAACTACATTTTACATACAGAGATGTAGGCGGTAAATGGTACTGTTTCAGTGTCTGGTATTCTCTCCAACAAGGTTAGGACAGACTCCATGAAGTCAGGCAGCAATAACCACAAAAAATGACTCAAGCATCAGAAAACCTGTTTTCTCTTTGGATGAGGTCTGGACATGTTGCCATGGTTGCCAGGTGGTTCGGACTCTTGGGTTCAAGGGATTCTCTTGCCTCAGCCTCCTAAGTAGCTAGGACCACAGGTACATACCATAGGACCACAGGTACATGCCATAGGACCACAGGTACATGCCATA